ACCCCCCACCCATCACACCTGGCTTCTAGAATAGGGAATTGTCCAGCATGAGTCCAGTTCAGAGAACAGTGTATGAGTCAGCTTGCCTGAGTGAATGATTTGTATTAAATTGATCAACTCCCTCTTAAAGTGAGCATTTCAAGGCAGGCAGACAATTTAAAGTCTGGAAAAGAGGTGATCACGCCTTTGAAATGCTGACGCTCAACCAAGATAGCAAACTGTATCTGTGTTTGTGTGTTTGACCCAATATATAATCTGGTGTTCTTACATTTATACTTGTATATTCCTATCTGGCCCCTGTACAGTCATGACCCACATTTCCTGTGTTCAAAGACACAAGTACCGAGTTTACGTGTGGACAGTGCAGGTGGACACTTACGACGACACGGAACCCGCAGCCACGGACTGTCCATGGAGCCGACAGAGTTTAAGCTTCAGAGATCTATCTCGCTGGCTTGGGCGGTGCGGTCACACGGCCACGTGTTTTTGTAAAAAGCTATAAAAGGAAGATATTTTTCTATTCTTGTTCTTAAATTGTATAAGCCTCAGCCTCACACACCTACGCTGCCCGTGGGCATTTGCTTCATCCATTTCAGACGCTATATCCAGGTAAGAAGGGGCAGGGAGAAGGTAGCTGAGGACCCAGAACATAAGTTCATGTGTTTCTTCCTCTTAGATAGAATCAAAGAATTATTCACTGACCTCAAAGGACCTAACGCTTATGGTCATCAATCACTGCATTGATAGACAAGACCTGCTTTGTTAAAAGACTGTGAAGTTTTTTCTTGTCAAATTGCTTAAATTCTTCTTAGGGAGCCAAGGAAAAGGAGGGGTGGGGATCACTAACATGAAAGGCAAAAAATAGACCGTAATTCTTATGGGGAAAGAATTTCATTCTCTCCACCATGAAAAGAAATAAGAACGAAGCAAAACTACATCTTTATAAGAAACCATGAAATTGTGGGTTTTGTTTTGTTTTTTTTATGCCAGACGTGGCTTACTAATAAAAGGAGATGGAAATGTAATTCAACTCCTCAGAGGAGCTTTTTTAAAGGACTCGATACAAAGCTGGGCGCTAAGAAAATCCCAGCGCATACTAAGGACCCGAGGACACCCACGGGCCCATAAACGGGCAGTGCTGCAGGGTGTGCAGGTGTGAGGGCCCGAGGGAGCCCCCTCCTCACAGGTATGGCTGTCACCTTCCTCACCTACCGCGCACACATTAGGCGCCTGAC